GAAACCTAAAAAAGGAAAAAAAAATTAATTATGAAAATTCAGATAGGAATAAAATTGCTAGCCATTATAACACCACCCCGCTTCATTGAATTTAGCATTTTGTTATATTTGTTGTAGACCTTTTGGAGGGGACTGGGGGGATAAACACTCTGTGAACTTTTTGTCTCTCTCCCCAACAACATTCACCCCAGTCCTACTTGCTCCGTTCCTGCAGGCATCAGGTATGTTTCTTTTTGTTGTTGTTGCTTTCTTGTGATTTATTATCTTTTATCTTGAATAAAGTCATAGAAAATTGTTTGGTTTAGCTCTCAGCAGCCTGCTCCTGAGCTCTGAGGAAGCTTGCCTTCTTCTGGGCTACCCGATCTTTCTTCTGGGCAAGGGACATCTTGGGACGATTCCACCTCTTCTTTTTAACTTCTTTCTTGGGTTTCTTTTCCTAGACTGGGTTCTCTCGTATAGCGGTGTGAGCTTTCTTACACATCTCCGTATCTGGAGTTACACTGCTCTTTATGTACTGAGAGGACTGTTTCTTGTATGCGTCTTCATCTTCTTCCATTAGGTAACACATGTAGTCTGCAACGTTCTGGCCCATGATGTGTTCCGATGGACTTCGGCATTAAATTCCTTGCTTTTAGAGTCATAATTATTTGGGAATTATTTGGTCCTGTGAGGGATAGATAAGCCTCCATCCACCGCTCCCTTCAGGGCCCCAAAAACTTTATTGCCGGTGGTGGTTCTGGCAAGGCCTGCATCCAAATAGCAGGTGAAGGCACCAGGTTGACCATCGATGCTTTCTACATTGTACTCATCTCCGGTCACTTCCACTTGATCTTCATAGATCTTATCCATGCCAAACCTACTGAGAAGCAGCAGGCCAGTACAGCACACTGCAACATAATTTGTCAGGCCAAACTTCACACCGTATTTTGGTAGTTGGTGTGCATAAGCTACGCAGACTCTCATATCCCCTTCTATATGGGCATAAGCAATCTGACAAATGATATCTGTTAGTTACACGATCTATCATCCTGTCTGTATTTGGGTGTGTTGTACTTATTTTCATCCTGGATCACCAAGCGTTTCCAAGCATAGTAATCAGTTTTACCCTGTCGTCTTCTAAATTTCATTTGGTATCTCTTAAAGTAGGCCTTATTCTTGACGACTTTAACAAATCCCATCCTGTGGAACAGTGACCAGCCAGGTAAGTTTCTTTCTAGCCCATGCACTTGGGCTTTTGCTACTGTATTTTCGTGCTTATGTTCATATACCTCTACTTTATCCGTAGGTGGAGAGGTAGGAGATGCTATTTGTTTTTATTTTAATGTAATGAAACCTGTTCATTTCTTCCTTTGTTGAGTTAATCTAGTGATAGAACAGTCTTTCCTATACCCATTCTATGTGACTATTGATTTATACTTTTCTAGTATTTTATGGTTTCAGTATTTTTTAATAAGAGAGAATTTTTAAAAAATTTGACAGAGGGTACATGCATTCAAAAGAGAGAGAGAGAGAGAGAGAGAGAGAGAGAGAGAGAGAACACCCCAACATCGGGCATGGTCTCATTGCAATCCCTTTTCCATTTCTTTCTTTCTTCAGGATTTTTGGGCCTACATGCTAGTGTGTTCTTTAAGCGTCTGGGTCAGGGACTCAAACCATGTGATCTGCTGTGTGGGATCTAGACATGTTAACCACCAGGCCATAGGGTGGCTTAAAGAGATAGGGTCTCTTTATAATCTTCATTCCCTAGTCTCCATTTTAGCCAGGACCACAGGTGTATGCTACCACACCTGACTTGTTTAGGTTGGGCTGGGAACCAAACCCAGGTCTCCCTCGTGGTCTCAACCATCATGCAGCCAGTGCCTATTTAAATTTGACAGAGGGTACTCAAAAGAGAGAGAGAGAGAGAGAGAGAGAGAGAGAGAGAGAACACCCCAACATCGGGCATGGTCTCATTGCAATCCCTTTTCCATTTCTTTCTTTCTTCAGGATTTTTGGGCCTACATGCTAGTGTGTTCTTTAAGCGTCTGGGTCAGGGACTCAAACCATGTGATCTGCTGTGTGGGATCTAGACATGTTAACCACCAGGCCATAGGGTGGCTTAAAGAGATAGGGTCTCTTTATAATCTTCATTCCCTAGTCTCCATTTTAGCCAGGACCACAGGTGTATGCTACCACACCTGACTTGTTTAGGTTGGGCTGGGAACCAAACCCAGGTCTCCCTCGTGGTCTCAACCATCATGCAGCCAGTGCCGCCTTCTTTGCCCCACCACAGATGAGCCTGATGTAAATATTTTTACTATAAATGTATACTATATCTTGAATTCATCTGGATATATTTTGTAAAATGGTCTATGATCTAAAAACAAAATATCACATTGATTGTGGTTCTACATGTGTCCTTATACTTGGGTCTGTTCTGGACTCTTCCACCCTTTTTAAACTTAGATCTGGTTGCTTATTGCTATGCCAATTTGCTCTTCTTTTAATTGGGACAATTTCCCTTTTTTCACAGGTTTTTTGTTTTTTATTATTATTATTATTATTTTTACTGAAATTGTGGCTTAAAAGAGCACATCAGAGGGGTCAGCAGGTGGCACAGTGGTTAAGGCACTGGACCCCACATGACCAGCTGTGGTTCTAATCCTGGACCTAGCAGCTTGAAACTCGCTCCAGGCACAAGTGTGTGCATGCCCTAAGCCCTGAGAGGAGAATAAAGGAAAAGGGATTGCAGCATGACCATCCCCTCTGGGGAGTGCTTTCTCATATTCTCTCTCTCCGTCTCTCCTATGGCAAAATCTCTCCCAAACGAAATAAAATTAGATCTATCCTCTAACAAATGTATCTCTCTAATGCATGTGTATGCCCTATGGCAAAATCTCTCCCAAACAAAATAAAATTAGATCTATCCTCTAACAAATGTGGAAATATATGGTATATTTTTAAATGTAAGTACAGTGTTGCACAAAAGATCTGTAAGACTTTTTTTTTTTTCTTCAGAGAAATTTTTGCTATAGGGCACGTGTGTTTGCCAGAGAGACAGAGAGATGAAAAGCAAGAAATCACCCTCCAGGGGGGATGATCACACCACAGTCTCTTCCCCTCCATTCTCCTCTTGGGATTTTGGGCACACACGCATACGCCCCTGGTGTGAGTTTTAAGCTGCCAGGTCCGAGTCTCAAACTTCAGTTGACTACATGGGAGTCCAGTGATGTAACCGTGATGGCATCTGCTGGTCCCCTGTAGAACTTTTTGGATGGCTGAAGCTTAATACCACTGAGCAATTACTTCCCATTTCCCTTTCTTCCAGTCCCTGGCAACCTTCATTCTACGTTCTGTGTCAATGAGTTGGGCTGCTTCAGATATCTCATATGAGTGGAATCACACAGTATTTGTTTTTCTGTGGATTGAGTTGCTTCACTTAGCATCATGTTCTCAAGGTTTATCTGTGGTGTAGCATGTGACAGGGTTGCGTTCTTTCCTCTGGCTCCATATATTCCATCGTATGTAAGTTCCACATGTTTATCCATTCGTCTGTCAGCGGACACTTGGGTTGCTTCCACTCTTGTGAACAATGCTACAGAAGACATTGGGGTGCAAATACTTTCTCAAGACCTTGATTTTGATTTTTAGTTTTTGAAGAGAAGTTTTTGCTGTAGAGTGCAGGCACTCACTGGAAAGACAGAGACAGAGAGACAGAAAGTGAGAAATCACTCCCCGGGGGGATGGCCACACCGCATTCCCTCCTCCATTCTTTTCTCGGGGTCTTGGGCACACATACATACATGCCTGGCATGATTTTCAAGTCAGCAGGTATGAGATTTTAACTGTGGTCAGTCATGTGGGAGTCCAGCGACTTAACCGCTACTCCATCTGCTGGCATCCCCTTTGGAGATTTTGATTGAATTTTCTGTAAATTTATAGATTAATTCAGAGAATTAGCACTTTACAGTTGAGTCTACCCATTAAGTATTATGGTTATTTCTTCATTTTTTCATGTCTGCGTTAGGCCCTTTAGTAAAGTTGTACAACTTTATTTAAGCAAAAAGCATCATTTCTTTTCACATTTATGTCTACATCTATCTAGATATTTTTCACTTACACCTCTCCATCTTCCATCTTCTCTGGAGTGTCCGGATGTAAGTCAGTGGTGGCAAATCCAGGAAGGATGCTTGGAATTAACCCTTCCTGATTTTCTCAGACCTTGGAAGTTTTATAACTCAGTGAAGCTTGTTCATCTGAGCTAGCTTGCTTGGAATGGGACCTCTCTGAAGAGGTTTCACAAATCCTCATGCAAAAAAGTTTTTTTGGAAGATGATGCCAGTCTGCCTGACAGACAGGCATGTCAGTTGGGACGTCAGTGGGGACAATTTCCTGGGCTGCATCTGGGGCTCTGCTATGCAGGCAGAAACTATAACAACAATAAACTGATATCTAGCCAATTCATTTCAATTTAGGAATGATGAAATTTCAGATATAAATTGAGCTTAGAAGCGACCTGGACAAGTTCTTCTCATGGAAAGACACATGCCAACTAGTTTCCATATAAACCTGTCCATTTTTTTTTTTTAATGCTGCAATCTTAGGCAACTTTGGTTTCATTGAAAAGCTTAGAGGAGGGACCAGCAGTTAGCATAATGGCTATGTCGCTGGACTCCCACGTAGTCGACCGCAGTTCGAGTCCTGGACCCGGTGACTTAAACTCACGCTGGGCACGTGTGCGTGCGTGCCCAGGATCCTGAGAGGAGAATGAAGGAGAAGGGATTGCAGCGTGGCCATCCCCCCTGGGGGGTGATTTCTCGCTTTCTGTCTGTCTGTGTCTGTCTGGCGAGCACACGTGCCCTATAGCAAAAACCTCTCCGAAAAAAAGAAAAGAAAAAAAAAAAAAAAAGCTTAGAGGAAAACTAAAAAAACTGGGGAGACTTTGGGATATTTCAACTTTTCTACTTCATTATTTGTGTATAAGTTAGTTTTTATTTCTTCTTCCTTTTTTAAAAATCTAGACCTCAAGAAATGCTCGCTCAGATGAAGACAAAGATGGCAACTGGGATGCCTGGGGTGACTGGAGTGACTGTTCCCGGACCTGCGGGGGAGGAGCATCCTATTCTCTGAGAAGATGTTTGACAGGGAGGTTAGTGGGGGCTTCTCCTGCTCCTTTGCATGGGCTATGACTGTGCCTCTTGACAGGTGGGGTGGGGAGACAACCTGGCTTGGCTCTCGAATGTATTATGATGCTAACATCTGTTACCTCTATAAACATTAATCAACCTCAAATGACCATATTTAAATAGTAATAGTTCCGTTTTCATGGGCTTCTGTAAGAAGCTCACAGTTCATGGGAACCAGAGGTGCCAGACACTGCTTTGAGGAAGGGAAGGCCTGGCATGTTCAGTCACCGGCTCACAGTTGTCAAGACTTGGGGCGAGAGGTCAAGTCCTCTGAGTTCTGCTTTTGAACTGTGACGATTTTACTTCCCTTCTTGTTCCCTTACTCAGAACATCCTATTGATTAAAAAGGTAAGGAAAGTTGTGTTGTCACATCTTAGTTATGTTGATAGTAAATAACTTTTGCTAACATGGGAGATCAGCTTGTGTTTCTAAAATCATGTTTGTCATAAGCCCATACTTACTGCATTTGAGATAATTTGAAACAATTCTGCACAGAGTCGTTTAAATCCCAACCAAGGATTTCACATCAGTTCTTAGGGAAGGCTGAGCCCCAAGTTGATGAAACCTGACAGGCTGGTCTTGAATTAAAGAAGACTCCAAGATCTTGGCATCCATCTGTAGATTTGATATAGTCACAGGGGAAGAAGTAAACTGATTTTTACTGATTATCCTTAAGGGGTAAACTATGAATGCAGGAAGATCATATTTTGGCTTTAGTTTGGAGCATATATTAGACTGTGACCAAGTATGTCCTCCAGTTTCCTTGAGACAGTGCAGAGCAGGGCAAGTGAGAGATTGTGTACAAGGTCTTTGAGGAGGATTATTGGTGCAATTTAGGGTGGCATGGAAAGGCTGCTAGGGCACTGTGGTGGCCTTACTCCATTGGACTGGTGTCTACTAAGCCTGCTGAGACCTGCAATTGGAAGGCTACACCCCTGTGACTGAGGGAGGGGAGGGGAGGAGCTTTCTATGTAAATGATAATCCTTTCCCACTGCTGTTGGTTACAGGAGGGTGACATTTCCAGTTCGTGAACTGGAGTGGGCAAGTAGCACTTTGTCAGCTCTTTCTAACCTCCAGGTCTGAGGAGTCTGAATAATTTGCAATTAATGGTGGAGTTAGAATGGAAAAGGAATGAGATTTATTTGCATTAAGAAAAAACAACAGGATCTAGCCATGTCATACTCCTCTTACTTCAGTCTCTCAGCTGTGACTACAGGTGTGTGCTGTCATAGCCAGCTCTTTCTCAGACAGAGTTTTGCTATATTGTCCAGGGAAGCCTCTAGCTGTGATTCTCCTGCCTCAGCATCCCAGGTTGCTAGGACCACAGGGCCTGTCATTGTGTCCAGCCTTTAGGTTGGCTTGGCAATTCAACCCAGCCTCCCATGTGATCCCAGCCTACAGAGTATAATCTTAAGAGCATACACCACCATGGTTGGCCAGCATTTGTCACTTTTTTCCCAATAGTATATGCTTGTGTTTGTTAAAAAGAATTTAGAAGTCTATATTAAGGACCCTCTTATTATCATAAAATAAAAATGATTCTAAAATTTTTTTATTAATTTTTAAAATTTTTGTTTAAATTTTTTTATTTTACTTGGAATGTAATTTTGCCAGAGGATATATCTCAGAATACAAGTTCAGTTTGTATTCAATTTGACCCTGGATCTGAACCATTGGACTTCCCATATGGCTCCAGTATTGCATAGCAGTAACCATCTGCCTGTGCAGCCACAGCTGTGACAGCCTAGCCATTCTAGATGGAAGGTGATCAGTCTTTACATTAGCTATAAATGCAGTAAAGACTCTAGTTAAAAGGCAATGATTGTTAGATTGTGAAACAAAAATTATATGCTTTTTACTAGTTACAACCTTAATTTTAAGGACACTTAAAACTGAAAATAAAAGCATGGAAAACAGTTGTAACATGTGAAGAACAATGAAAAGAAAATTGGTGTCATTGTACTAATATCAGACAAAATAGAATTTAAGGAAAAGAGGCATTATCAGAAATAAAGAGGGATCATCACAATACAGGGTATCAAAACTTGGAGGATGCAATTTAGAGGAGTAGCATAATGGAATCTTTCATTATCCTGTCCTTTTCCACCGGGGACGTGAATTATCTCTTCTGTTAAATTGTGGAGGAGAAAGAAATTCAAGCTAGTTTTGTTGTCAGATCTCAAACTGCAGAGGGTCTAGCCATAGTGCATGGTGTTTAGTCAAGATGAAGATGGCATTACTTTTGCGGATGAAAGACATGAGAAGAAATGTGTCCTAATTGATAGCTTGTTACTATCTGTAGTTTCAGACATCCACTGGAGGTCTTGGAACACACCTATAGCATAAAAAGGTATCTAGTGTATTATAAAAGAAGAGTTGGATGAAAAAAAATTAGTGGTTCAAACTTCCATTTAAGAAGTCAGGAAGAGGGAACCAGCAGTTAGCATAATGGCTATGTCACTGGACTCCCACGTAGTCGACCGCGGTTCGCGTCCCAGACCTGGTGGCTTAAAACTCACGCGGGGCGCATGTGTGTGTGTGCCCAAGATCCTGAGAGGAGAATGGAAGAGAAGGGATTGCGGCGTGACCATCCCCCCTGGGGGGTGATTTCTCGCTTTCTGTCTGTCTGGCGAGTGCACGCACCCTATAGCGAAAACGTCTCTGAAAAAAAAAAGAATTAATTGTAATTAATCATAGTTACATCTAACATCATTGATATTCTCAAAATCGGTGTTCAGATAAGAAGATAAAATCAAGCTGCAGAAGGTTAGGTACACCAAGGTGCATATAAAGTTGAACCATTAATATCCAGCTAGAGAGGGTTATATACAAGGTGATACCGTTTCAGGAGTAGTACTTACTCAGCTTTTTCATTTTTATGGACATATGTAGTGTTTTTTTAAGTCTGTTTATATAAAAATCTTAGCTAGTATTTTGAAATTTGCTTTTAGGCCCGAGAATCTCCAAATTTGCCTTCTCCCAGAGTATCTAATTTGAGGTATACAGAAATATGCATAAGCCACTGTGTATGCACTCACAAACACAAACGCACACATATGTGCACGCATACACACATGACAGGTATTCCAAAAGTTCGTGGAAAATGTGTATTATGAAAAAATAATGGATTTCAAATTTTTATACTAAAATCAACTAATACTTTAATGTATTAGTGAATTTAAAAATAATTATTTAATTTTATTAATTATTATTTAATTTTGCTATAAGGCACATGCATTCACCAGATAGAGACAGAGAGGGAAAGTGAGAAAGCAAACTGCCAGGTCCAGGACTCTAACTGGATTAGCCATGTGAGATCCATTGCCTTAACCACCACATCACCTGCTGGCCCCAGTATTAGTGAACTTTTAGAAATCTACTTGTGTGTGTGTGTTTTAAGTGTGAGAATAGTATATTCAATGATATTTGCAATAAGGTAAGTATATACCAAAGTGTGACCTTTTTCCAGCTTGGTTTCTGACATGGGGCAGACCCTGTGGCACATCTTCTTGTTCTATGTCTAAGGAATACAAACAGTAACTTCATTTTTCTGCATAAAAATGATACTAGGGTAATTCAAAAGAGTGGGAAGTCGTTTAACAGTTCACTCATTCCTGGGAACAGCAGATGACATAACGGTTACGTCACTAGACTCCCACGTGGCTGACTACAGTATGAGTCGTGGACCCACCAGCTTGAAACTCACACTGGGCATGTGTGCGTACATGCTCAAAATTCTTAGAGGAGAATGGAGGAGAAAGGATTGTGGCATGGCCATCCCCCTGAGGGGTGATTTCTCACTTTCGGTCTCTTTGTCTCTTTCTGTGTTCCCAGTGAGTGCATGCACCCTATAGCAAAAATCACTCTGAAAAAAGAAATAATAATTCACTCATTCCTTTTTCCTATCTTTTTGGCAGCCACAGACGTTGATCATTCCTGACCTACTCCCACATTAAGAACTTTCACTATAGTTTCGGAAATACTCAGATTTTCAGAAGGAAATCCACATCCTTTTAAAAAGTTATCAGGTCTCTTTATCTTCAAACAGGCTTACAGACTTGTTAAATCTTCGTAAATATTGAGCACTGTGGTCCATTTTTCTTGGAAGAGGAATACAAAGGTGGTCACATATAAAAGCAAACAAAAAGCCGTCTCAAAGCTTTAGAAAACATCTCAGTGCCTTTTTTTATATCAATATGTTCCTTTAAATTGATGATTTAGGAGAGGAGATGAGTGTAGCTGTTTTGCTCACTTATTTCTTTGAGCATAAGGTTATTTCAGAACTCGATTACATTTAAATACTCAACTATTTCAGCATGGCACACCACATGCCAGCCAGATTGTCTCTTTTTCTTGCAAAATTTGTAATGTGATATTCTAGTCAAGTGCCAACCATGGGAAATACAGGTTTAAGTGAACTACTATTTAAAAAAAATGAATGCATTTTTATTCCTTGAAACACATGCGTCTCAATCTTTATGACACTGGTATTTGAGTCAATATATCATCAAGTGACTATAATAAATTACAACGCTGTAAACTCCGTGGAAATTTCGTTAATGTTTTTAATGTATCCATGTGGAATCAACATATGTTTTTTATATATTCATGAATTTATGACTTCAAAAGTCTTCAGTTGTAGGGTGTTATGAATGCTGTAACGGGTAGAAAATATATCATTATGAAATGGTGTTCTCGAATTTTCATGTACTCCTGATAACCCTTCGCTCTTGAATATACTAATTAGAATGGAATTAAAAACTTCTAAGTAATATTTCTGCAGTCCAGTTGCTTTGGGCCAGAGGAATTATTTCCAGAATAAGCTGGCAGGTTCCTGCTTGGGGAATTATAACTCCAATGTCCTTAGCTTTAAAATAACTTGCATTTCATTTTATGCCTGTTTCAGAAAGCAATCATTCAGTTTAATACTAAACTATAACCAAAGCATGCCACATCAGCAGAGGCCAGCCAGTGGCCTTAGTGTGTGTTAGTTTGGACAAAGGGAAGTAGAATGTTAAAATGGCAGCCAGATGGTTGGGTTTACAAGACCTGGCTACTGACTTCTAAAGGGAAGTGAGAGATAATCTCTCTACATCTTTATATTCACATCCTGGTACATACCTAGTAGGTTCAATGCAAGAAACCGTTGAAGAAAGAATGCATCCAAAAGGGCACTTTGTATTTCAGAACTTAGAAATTTAAAGACTCTCTTCCACGTCACTTACCTGCAGGTACAGTGGGATTTGCGGTGGAGAGGTACCTACTTTTTAGGTTTGGATTTTCAAGCTCAATATTTAAGATGCAATTTAATGACTCCTGAATAAGTGTAAATTTAAGACATAGAAGGTGGTAGTTGCGGTGGTCTAGTTTGTTCTGTGACCAGTAACAAAAAAAGGAAAAGCCCGAGTGTGGGTAATTTAGAAAAATAGGGGCTTATTTAGCCCATGACTGGAGGCTCCCCAGTCAGAGACCACACCTGGTGACGATCTTCTTGCGGTCGGACAGAATGGTGGAAGATCGATGTGTATGTTTGTGTTCATGTCTCTCTCTTACTCCCTGCTCTGTTTTTTTTGTTTTTTTCGTTTGTTTGTTTGTTTGTTTTTGTTTTTAGATTTTTGTTGTAGAGTGTGTGTGCTCATCTGAGACACAGAAAGACAGACAGAGAGGAAAAGTGAGAAACCACCTGCCCACGCAAATTTCTCTTCTCCTCCATTGTCCTCTCAGGATTTTAGGTTCACTTGCACATGTGCCTGGCATGTGTTTTAAGTCGCTGGATCCAGGACTTGAACCATGGTTAACCTTGTGGAAGTCCAGTGCCTTACTCACTATGTTACTTGCTGCGCCCCTTCTTCTATTTCTTAAAAACCCCCCAGGCTTCAGTCTTGGGGATCCGACCGTGATGACTTTAACCCTAAAGTCCTTCCAGAGATCCAAAACCTGCTTTTGTGTGTGTGTAGAAGTTTTTGCCTTAGGACACAGGCGCTTGCCAGAGAGAGTCAAGTCAGTGAGAGGGAAAGTGAGAAATCACCTCCCAGGGAGGGTGGCCACACACAACCTCTTCTTCTCCATTCTCCTCCTGGGATATTGGGCGCGCGCGTGCACACACACACACACACACACACACAGGACCAACGTGAATTTCAGGCATCTGGGTCCAGAACTCAAACCCCAGTCAGCCATGTGGGAGTCCACCAACTCAACCGTTACGTCATCTCCTGGCCCCACCATCCCAGACCTTTCAATTCCATAGTTGAGTTAGGTTTTCACCCTCTTAATCCCATCACAGTCAGATCTCAACACGTTAATTTTATGGCCATATTCAATACAGCAGGCCTGAGTCATAGCCATAAGATACCTTCATTAATGTTTTTACTTTTAGTTTTAGATTTCTTTTTACAGAAATAGGTTTTTAATTAAAATAGATACAATTAAGCAATGACTAAACATGCACCTGAAAAGTTATTTCTGAAGCTTTGAAATACTTCAAAGAAAAGATCATTTTTCCTAAAGGTTTCATTAGTTTTTATATTTCAGTATTTCTCTCAATTCAAGTATTCTCATAAACCATCAGTCTCTGATTGCCGGCCCCCTCGAAACTAACGTAACAAGCTTTTTAGGGCTAGCAGTCAGCAGGCTACAAAAAGCTTTAAGTTATCACTTCCCTAATCTATTAACAGCTTTCCTCAACTGGGGCTTTTCCAAAATAAGCAGAGTAATTTAAATTACGCTTTCGCTTTTCCTGTTTCATTTTCTTCTTTGATCCACACATAAAAAGCAAAATGAAGTCAGTCATGTAAGTGAATGAATGGCCCTGTGTGCAGACATAGTAGTTGTTTCCCAGTAGAAGGGACTCATTTATTTCCCTTTGATCAAGAAACTTCCCTACCTCAATGGAGTTTTCCTGCCAGTTTCCCAGCTAGATGCTTCTTAATGTTTAAAATGTTATGCAGTCTCATTAAGACAGATTTATTTATTTAACATTTTTAATTATTTTTACTTTAGTGGTTTTGTTTTGTTTGTTTGTTTGTTTTTACTATAGGGTATGTGTGCTTGCTGGAGAGAGACAGAGAGAAAGTAAGAAATCATCCCGCTGGGGGGATGGCTATGCCGTAGTCTCTCCTCCCATCTTCTCCTGGGATTTTGAGTACAAACACACACATGCCTGGTATGATTTTTAGTCTGCCAGGTCTGGGACTTGAACCATGATTCTCCTTGTGAGAATCCAGCACTTTAACCACCACATTACCCACCGGCCCCAGTCTCTTCAAGATTTTAATAAATTGTAGACTAATATACCTATGACAAGTCAAAAAAATGGAACTATACAGTGTTATAAGATACTGAGACTTGGTCCACCCCTTGTAATAAGATGTTCTAAACCAAGAAGTAGCAACACATTAGATATATTGTCTGTCTTCAAGTTCAGAAATTGAACTGCCATTTAGATCATGCCTTTGGAGGCAGCTCTAATGCCGTTCTTTGTACTCCAAAACCTTTATCTCCCAAAGTCTTAGAAAATAAATCTATTTAGGAATGGTGTGAGGAGATGTGAGGAGCCTAAGGGCAATGTTGCGATGGGAACCGAAGGGTAGGGTGAAGATGGTGTGATAGATAATGGAGGAGGGTGGGTTTGAGAAGGACCACAAAGGAAGACAAGTGGGTGTTAGGGTTAGTGAGTGCATTGGACACAATACCATACGAGATCATCGCTACAGAAGAATCGAAGCAGTCATTGGGAAGCATATTGTAGACTTTGTGAAAGCACAGGAAAAGGCCACCTAAATAAGATATATTCGGGGCTGGCAAGTGGCGTGGTGGCTAAGGGTACCGGACTCCCACATGATCAGTTGTGGTTCAAGTCTCAGACCTGGTGGCTTTCTTTCTTTCTCTCGCTCTCTCTCTGTCCCTCTTGGGTCAAACGAAAATAAATGAATGAATGAAGGAAGGAATAAATAAAGTAAAAATAAAATAATTCTTTTAAAAAATAAGACATATACAACCAAAAAAATCATAAAGAAATTAAAAAGTGTAGAGAGAGAGAGCGAGAGAGTGCTAACCTCAGAATTATAGGCATTCTTGGAACCATAGCAGTAGTTAAAAATCAGAATAATCAGCAACACTGTAAATAAAAACCTTGAGAATTCTACCAAAATCCCAAGAGGCGAGTGGAGGAGACAGGATTATGGCATGGGTGTTCCTCTGAGGGGTGACTTCTCACTTTCTCTCTCTCTCTGGCAAATGTGCACACCATGTGACAAACTGGGGGAAAAAACTGAAATAAGATCTATTGGCTTTTAGTTCGAGATGATGATTTAAACCACTGTATAGCTTTTCTTGCTCTAAGTTTGCCATCAAATTGAGTAGGAAAGCGTAAAGAAAAAAAAAAGCTATATAGCACTGAACAATCTGCCAGTAATAGATCAGGTATCTTTCAGGAGTTTTTGTAAGATATAAAGCAACAAGCAGGTGGGATTCCAGCCACGCCGAGGAAACCTCTGCTTGGAGAATGAATGGCAGGCAGGAGCCCAGGGCCAGTGGCTGGTGGGAGGGCAGGTGACGTGTGGGTCATCCCTGGAGGATTTTCAAAACTTACTAGTATTGGCATCCCAAGAAAGCTGTCCAGATGTGTTTTGTAGCATCCGTTTAGTAAGGCCAATGAAATAAAATGGAAGCATTGCAAATTTCTAGCAGAGACAGGTTGTCCTAATTAAAGGAGAACAGTGAGTACTCAGCTAACTTGTGTTGCTTCACCAGTGGAGAAGAGAAATTCCCCCATGGACACTTGTTACACGAAAGCATTTGCCTATAGCTTTCCTTTTTACTCACATATTTTAAAAAATGCCTATTCACACATCACACACACACAGACACACTTAGCATTGATTTCAGTAACTACATGAACCCCTGGTAAGAACTGCATGTTAGTAATAAAGTTAATTGGTGACTACATTCATTAACCAAAGAATTCACTCTTCCCTGGAGCTGGCACATCTGTGAGATTTTTTTGGCCCATAATCTCATGATCCTTGAACGTTAATTTCTTAGATATTTTTTTTTGAGTGATTTTTGCTGTAGGGTGCGTGCACTTGCCAAAGACACAATAGAGAAAGAGAGACAGAAAATGAGAAATCACTCCTGGGGATGCCCACGCCACAGTCCCTTCTTCTCTATTCTCCTCTTGGGACTTTGGGCATGCACACACATGCACCTGGCATGAGTTTTAAGCCATCGGGTCCAGGACTCAAACCTCAGTCGACTATGTGGGAGTCCAACAACATAACCATCACGCCATCTGCTGGCCCCATTTTTTCTAACTTAAACCTTGAATCTTTGAGGTCATGTGACTAGCAACAAGTTTACAGGAAACAGTGACTTGGGTTTTTGTTTATTTTTTTGATGCTATCATTTCTACAAAATCATTATTTTCTTTTTTCCTTCTTTTGTCCATTTCCTTCAGGAACTGTGAAGGGCAGAATATTCGATACAAGACGTGCAGTAATCATGTAAGTCCTATAATAAAAATATATAATCTAATAAGATCATGTTTTAAGTTACAGTTGGTACTGGAAAACTCACAGTCTCTTGGTAACCTTCATGGAAAACTTGAGTATTTTGTTATAACTGACAGCAGCGTTTGTGTATCTAATAGCTTCCATTTGTACTACCTCTTTAGACCATTTTGTGTTGATCTAATTTGCTTAGTATTTCATAATTTCTAAATTTATAGAAACAGTACAAAATACTCGTAAACGCCTTTGAAGTTCAGAGTGCTTCAGTATCTCACCTGACCTTCACGCTGTCTCTGAGGCGTAGGCAGATTTGCTAATGAGGGAAGTGATGCTGAGGGAAGTAAAATCATCTTCCAAAGGTTACATAAGAAGAGGAAAGCGGGACCAGCAGATGGCGTAATGGTTATGTCTCTGGACTCCGGTGTGGTTGACTGCAGTTGGAGTCCTGGACCCAATGGCTTAAAACTCATGCTGGGCCTGTGTGTGTGTGTGAGTGCCCAAAATCCTGAGAGGAGGATAGAGGAGGAGGATTGTGGTATGGACATCCCCCCAGGGGTTGATTTCTTATTTTCTGTCTCTCTGTCTCTCTCTGGTAGGCTCACATGCCCTATAGCAAAAAATCTCATTAAACAAAAAAAAAGAAGAGGAAAGACTGAATTTCTCTAGTGCTGTTTTTCCCACTCGAAACAGCCTGTGCTGCCCACTACAAAATCTGTTGAAGAATACATTCGCTGTTAGCTGACACATCAGAAAATCACACAGAAGGAAGGATTTAGGCAACCTTAACTTGTATTCTTTATCAGTCAACACTAGAAAGAATTCAAATATTAACTTATCAGAAGAAATCAAAGTTACTGTTCACTCAAAATATTTCCCTCCTTAGTGATATACAGTGTTCATTAAACAGGTCAGGGAAGGTAGGTTTTAGGGAAAAAATTATGCATCGATTTCAAATTTTTCGCATCAAAATAAAATTGTTTGATTTTCTGTTTTTTGTTTTGTTTTGTTTTAAAGATTTTTGCCATAGGGCATGTGCTCTCACCAGAGAGAGCGAGAGAGACAGAGACAATGAGAGGGAAAGTGGGAACTCACCCCCTGGGGGGATAACCACACCACAGTCCCTTTTCCTTCATTCTCCTCATGGGATCTTGGGCGTGCATGCACACGCACTCGGTGTTAGTTTCAAGCCACTGGGTCTGGGACTTGAACCATGTGGATGTCCAGTATTGTAACTACTATACCACCTGCTGGCCCCAGAAACTTGTCGTTTAATCCAGTTTTTTGATGAACTATTAAAGTCCCTACCTTACCTACCATGCCACTGGCTGGCCTGAAACCCACTCTTTTGAAGAAAGTTGTCATTAGTGCTTCCAAGATGAGGAGCTCTTCTGAAGGAGACTCACCTGCTGTCATTCCCCTTGTCATTCCCCTCTGTGGGTCCTTACTAGTGCTTTCCGCTTCCCCTCACTTCCATTCAAGGACCTTCAGAGTTTGGTAGATTTCTTTCACCCTTGCTGGGCAAGGCTGTGCACCATCCATTTTAGATGCTAAATCGATTTCTGTCATTCCTCTTTTGCTCATGTCGTCTGTCTGTCTCTAAATTCCCTCTGAGATGTTGCTTTTCCGGAATGCTTTTATTTGCCAACTGTAATTTATAGTGGCCACCTACAGTAATTTATGCTAGAGAAGTTGTTAATTGTTATTTAGAAGAGTCACGAGTTTAACTCCTATTACATCTTGGATGTGAAGATAAAATAAAAGTTTAAGATTTGCTTATAACAAAAAGTGTTTCACCTGAATCCCTCCTCACTGGCTCTCTGGGGGAAAATAAATTAATCGTCTAACCCACATTAAAGTATGGCCCAATTCTATTATATAAATCATCCCTTAGATAAAGGTCTTTTTCTCGTGCATAAAAATATTCAATTTTTTAGATCATTGCCCTGTCTTGGCTTCTTTACTTCAACAGTACCTAGTTTACATCTGCTGTCTCCGTGTTTTTCCTCTGTCTTCTCCTGCTCTTCTCTACCTCCCTGTCCTGTCTCCCCTCCCCTTGGTTTCTCTCCTCTCACCCCGACCCCATGTCTTCCTCCTCCACCTAGCCTGCCCTTCCTAGTCTGGCTACCTGCCCTGACAGATACACTTCTTTAGCTGTATTAATTACCTCTATCAGATTAGAATCAAGTCTTGTTGATCTAAGATCTATTCTCCCCTCATTAACTGCATCTAGCCAATTTTATAGATAACTATTTTATTTCCTTCATTGCAGTCCTACTGAAGTCTACGATCACCAGTAATAATACCCCATTGCAGAGTGTCTCATGCATGTAGATGCTCCATCTCCAAGAAGGATGACAGGCTCACCGAGTGACGGTGGCCGATTGTATTTTTCTTTCATGTTCTCTGTAACATATGACCGAAGTAACCAGGGGTCATAATGTGTATTTAGTAAGTAAGTGTGGGCTTGAACGTAACCGATAAGAGAAAATGCTTGGGGAGGGGAATGCAGAAGAACGTTTGGCGTTCAAGCTTCCTAAATGTCAATGACTATTTTTAAGACAAAAGAATCCCTAGACCGTCTTGAGCCGGGGCATGGGACCCAGCTAAGCCAGACTAGGCAGGCTTAGTGCTGACTGGAAGAATGTGAAATAAATGAAAGCATTTAACATAAGTAGCCAATGCCCCCCACGATTCCTAGGAAGCTGTATCGTATAATGGAGTGTTTGTTACTTGGAGAATCATTCTTGACTGTGTTCAGTCCTACTGGTGTGTTTCTGATCTAGTGGCTAAAGACTACATAGGTCACAGGTTCCTCTAGTTATAAAACGAGGTTAATTATAATCCCGATGTACCTAGCTCAAAGGTTGGTAGCAAAAAAGAGAAGGCCAGTGATAATCCCGGTAAAGTAGAAAGCATTATCCAGATAGAAAGCTGTGATAATCGGGCATTGTCATAGACTGAGAATAGAAATCCACCTAGATTAGCTTAATAAAAATAGTCTTCACTGGATGGATATGTAGGTATTTACTGACATTTAAATCTAAGCAGGTCTCACTGGCCCGGAGCCAGAAATCAGGAAGAGAGGAACCCAAGTTATTAGCCCTATTGAAAGGCGTGGTTTACCATCTCTCCTTTTCTTGTCTTAATTTATTCTTTTCTGCTGTGGGAACTGGCTTGCTTTGTTTCAACATGCATCTCATACAGGAAGTGGCCAGTTCAGCCCCAGACTGATGTGAGTTCTCAACCCCAGTTCTTCTGTTGCTGTTCCAAATTCCTGGGAAAGGTTGACCTGGCGTGGACCAGATGTTTGCCTCTGGACCGTCAGTTGAGCCAAGGAGGCTGTTCACATGTACAAACCTGGCCACTCTCGTGGCAAGAACTATGTACGCTTATATCCTAAGCTGTCTTCTGTTAATGAACTCTTATTAATTTTGTGAAACTGCATCTGTTTATTGAGTTTAAGGCAGTCAAGAGTCAGCCAGTCAGCACACACAGTCCCTAGAGCAGTCTGACCACATCAGTGAACCGAACGCAAGGGAAATTGCTTGCACCCTCTTCTCACAGGCACTTTCTATTGGTTTCAAAGAGTCAGACATAAAGAAAACTGACCACAGCTGTAGGAAGAGGAGGCAATGTTTTCTATGGCAGGGACACAGTCCCCATTCCAGCAGAGAAAGGGCATCCATTTTCAGTGTGACTCTTGCTTCCGTAAGTGTGACCTGGGTTAAGGTTTAATCTCACTAAGACAACAAAAATGTGTTTGCAATTTAGGATTTTGGAATGTTTCACAGTAAAAGAATACAACTAATCCCAGAGGGAAGTTGGTTAATTATAGTCTATTTATTTCCTACCTGCTTCCAAAAAGGATTTAAAACTGGTTGTAATGACTGGAAACAAAAACACAGTAAAATACAAAAGTTAAGTAGTAAAAAGGGGAGCAGGGAGGGCCAGCCAGGTGGTGTGATGGTTGGGGCGGCTGGATCCCACATGGCTGCCTGCATGGTTCAAGTTCTGGACCCAGCTGCTTGAAAAAAAGCTGAGTGCGTGCGGGTACATGCCCAAAATCCCAAGTGAAGATGGGAGGAGAAAGGATTACAGTGTGGCCATCCCCCATGGGGGTGATTTCTCATTTTCTCTTTCTCTCTGGTAAGCGCATAGCAAATTACTTAAAGAAATTTTTTTAATGGGACAATAAAATAAAAAGGGAGAAATAGGAGCCAGCAGTTGGTGTGGTGGTTAAGGCACTAAATTCTCACTTGGCAGATCGTAGTTTGAATCCTGAACCTCGCAGCTTGCTTTATTACTTTCCATCTGTCTTTCTCTGGTGAGAGCCCATGTCCTATAGCAAAAAAGTTTAAAATAACACTAAATAAAATTAAATACATAACTTTTTAAAAGATGTAAAAAAAAAAAAAAAAGGAGAAATGATGGCAATTATGTTTTAAAATCCTGGTTGGTAATTTGTTAATAACTATGAAAAAAATAGAGCTGGATTTCTACCTCACAGCATCCATTTAAATAAATTCCAGACATAGCCAGGAATTAGGGGGCCTGATGGTGGCTGAATGAAATATTCTGCAAGGCTGACACACATGGGAAGATTCTGGGTTCAAGTCTGGAAACTTCCCTGAATGCTCTGGGTTCAGGATCATGTGCCCCATCTTGGGCTGTCTGAGGCTGGGGGTGGATCCCTGTGTGAAGACCCTTTGAGGGATGCTTGTCTCTGTCTTTTCTCTCTCCATCTCATTTATGGAAGAAATAAAAAGAGAGTTAAGCATGACTGTTAATATATAATGGAACTAGAAAATTATGTTCAAGTATTTATCTATTCTCAGGGCAGAGTGAAAAAAGTATTTTTAAGTCCATTAATTAAGAAAGAAACTGTAAAGGGACATATTAATAGAGCTGACTCCATAAAATCTGTAACTTCTTGGCCTCACAAAGTACTAAAACCCAAATTAAATGGGGAAAATATTTCCAACATAAATGACAAGGAGTTGATCACGTCGCTATGAAGTATACTGGTTTTATCTGCCGAAAGCTCCAATAGGTAGACAAATAAAGAACATAAAACAATAAAAGTTTGAAGACACGATACAAACAGTAAGTATACTTGCTTTAATGAAAAGATACTAAGCCTAAATAATTAACAAGAAGTCCAAATGAAAACATGAAGTCTATTTTACATTTCTGATTAGAAAAAAATTAAAAATTAAAATTAGTATCTAAATTGGGAAAAGGTATTGAGAAATTTTTAGAGATTTTTGCTATAGGGTGTGTGCGCTCGTCAGAGACAGAGAGAGAAAGTGAGAAATCACCTCTCGGGGATGGCCACGCCACACTGCCTTCTCCATTTTCCTCTTGGGATTTTGAGCATGCACACACACATACACAGTGAGTTTCACACCTCCGGGTCCAGGACTGGAACCGTGGTCGGCCCTGTGGGAGTTCAGCACCTTAACCACTATACCACCTGCTGGCCCCTCTTTGCTATTTGTTTTTTTTAATGGAAATTGTTGTCCTAAGTTTTTACAATGAGCATGTATTACTTTCATAATAAAAGAAAAACAAAATTATACATGTATTGCTTTTCTGAATCTGCTGTCTTAGAAAATTTGTATACCAAAAGTAAATTTTTTATAAAGAATATTTTCTAACATTTTCTGTCATCTGTCATCTTGCCTTGGAAACATCTGTAGGACCTGAGGAATCAGCAAGTTAGTAAAAAGAACACACAACCCTGAGTCATAAATAGTTATACAAGCACATTTTACTTTTATTATGAGATCGCCCTAGGGCATTTACTTAGACTCTGTGTGCTCCTATTGGAGACAGAATTCGAGCAAGCTACATTAGCTCCTTTTGACCCCACAGCCAGTTGTGGGCAGGTATTTGGTACCAGTGAGGAGCGATGGGAGGGGGCCGACAAGGGAGGGAAAGCAGATGAATTGAAGGACAGTGACAGCAAGGAAACAGACATCAGTTCTCACAAAGCACAGCAGTGTGAGACCAAAGAGGGGCAAATGATCTTCCACACTGAAAAGGTTCTTGAAGGCATGGGTGATAATTACTATTTCTGTGAATACCTTGAATTGCCTGGATTTAAAAAAAGCATTTAGATTTCCTTGTTTCAAAAAGTAGATAGAGGGACCAGCAGGTGGTGTAAATCATGTCACTGGATTCACATGTAGTCTACTGTGGTTCGAGTCCCAGACTCGCTGGCTTAAAACTCAGGCTGAGTGTGTGCGCACAAAATCCTGAGAGGAGAATGGGGGAGAAGGGATTGCGGTGTGGCCCTCCTCACTCAGGGGTGACTTCTCACTTTCTGTCTCTCTGTCTCTCCAGTGAGCGTACACACCCTATAGCAAAAATCTCTCTCTCTCTCAAAAAAAAAAAAAAATCGATGAAAGTAGATATGGTCGATATGTAAAGCATTTGAAAACGTGTATCCAAGATGGTTAAAATAGGGCAGCAGTTGGGGCGTAAGTATTCTAAGCTTTAATTATCTAGGAAAAAAAACCAATACCTGGGTAAAAGAGTGATCAGAATAAATGAGATGGGTCCAGTAGGTGGCGTGGAGGTTAAGGCAGCTGGATCTCACGCGGCTGACTGAAGTTTGAATCCTGGACCAAGTGGCTTGAAAAACCACCCCCAGACACGTGTAGGTATGTGCCCAAAGTCTCGAGAGGAAAATGGAGAAGGGATTGTGGTGTGATTATCTCCCATGAGAGGTGTGATTGATGCCTCATTTTCCCTCTTTCTCTCTCTGTATCTCTGTCTCTCTCTGATGAGCAAATGTGCCCTATAGCAAAAATTGAAAAAAAAAAAAAAAGGTAAGTGAGTTGATCCCCCAGATAGATCACTATTACAGAGATCTCAGGAAAAATCCATAGTTATAGATTCCGTTTTGAATTTTAAAAAGGAAAAAACCGAAGAACTGAGGTTGTTCCCAGGGGAGAGGCAAAGGGCAAAGTGGGTTCTGCTCTCTCGGGATTCTGATGGTGCGTTCAGGCTCCCGTTGGCGCCCTCACTGGTGACGTGCCCGTGGTCTTTTCCTTCACCCCCAGGACTGTCCTCCAGATGCGGAAGACTTCAGAGCCCAGCAGTGCTCAGCCTACAATGACGTCCAGTATCAGGGGCGCTATTATGAATGGCTCCCACGGTATAACGACCCTGCCGCCCCGTGCGCGCTCAAGTGTCACGCGCGAGGACATAACTTAGTAGTGGAGCTGGCACCTAAGGTGCTGGATGGGACGCGCTGTAACGCTGATTCTCTGGACATGTGTATCAGCGGCATCTGTCAGGTAAGCCACACCTGCCTCCCATGCCCCTGGTTCGGGGAGATGCCACGCCCACCCTTAAAAATTGTTTCTTAAGGGATTACATTTGATTTAACTGAAAGATTTATGTTTTGTTTCATTTGGATGGTCACTTATTTAAACACGATTTTTTTAAAACTGATTAGGAAATCATATGCAGGAACTGTGCAATAATTCTTCGCTGAAGTAATGATTTATAGATGAGCATTTATTCCCGGAAGCACTACTCATATATTTAAAATACGTACTTTTGTTAGCTCCCATCTTGTGTGACTTGTTTTATTTACTAACTGTAAATTAAGACTATCGCCCTACTGATTTGTATGCTGTAGCAGTCGGTACTGTAGAAGATGGTTATTTAACAGAAGTTAATCAATGTTGTTGACGTGCTTATCAGTTAGTTTATAAATTACTGTCATTAGAGATCCTGGCTTCATGAGCTGTCAAAGAAGTTGAAAACACCTTAGAAGACTTAGAAATTTGCTTAGTATTGATTATGGTGGACTCTGAACGCCCAAATTGGGTAGCCCCTCTATTTCAAGGGCAGTTCTGGCTTCTCCCTCTGAATCACAAGGCAACCAGAATTTCTTTTTAAATATCATTTTTCTGTGATGTTTTCACATGCTTTATTTGGCCGTAAGATTTGGATGAATTGTAACTCTGAAAAAATTATGAAGCATATGTCAGTGCTTGGGGAGGCGTTCGGTTGCCCAGGATCTTGCAAGGCCCTAAACACTCTTCAAAACAAGCCCATCCTAGCTCCTAAACCCACACCCTTCCTAGGTGACCAGATAGAGGGTGATTCTCATGCTCATGAAATGTGAAGTGCTCAGGCAGGGCCACGAATGTGTCAGTACAGTGCTTGGCCCAGGAACAGGGTTTCTATAATTTAATGGCAGAATTATTCCCCTTGGAGAAAGTTGCATGAACACAAGTTACTCATTGATTGAATCTCAACCATACAAGTGTGTTTCCAAAATCAATCGCTCTTAAGTCGTTCCACATGTAGTTGCAAATATTAATATAATGGCCTCTGTACGGGGTTCTTGGTTGTCCATCTGCTGATACTAAAAGTGGAGGAAAATGGAGCAAGGTGTTAAGATCCTGCTGTTAGATGACAGGGATTTAAAAACCATGCCTGGGGCCCAGCCGATGGCATAGTGATTACATCACTGGACTCCCACATGACCAAAACAGTTCAAGTCCCAGACCTGGTGGCTTGAAAATCACGCCAGGCACGTGTGCGTGCATGCCTAAGATCTCAGGAGTAGAATGGAAGAGGAAGGATTGCAGTATGGCCATGCCCGCTGGGGATTGATTTCTTACTTTCCCTTTCATTGTCTCTGTCTCTCGCTCTCCGATGAGCACAGGTGCCTTAAGGCAAAAAGCTCTAAAAAAAAATAAAACAACCCACAACTGACACTATATAACAGCTGGGTTGTGTTGGCAAATTATTTCACCTCTGTAACGTTAGGGTTTCTTATTTGCAAAATAGAGATGAAAGATATCTCCTACCTTGTAAGATTGTTGCGGAGATTAAGGGAAATAACATGTGTGATGAGCATGGCATAAGGCCACGCGCGTGGTCAGAATCCCATAGAAACCAACTATTATCATTTGGGACTATTTTTCTAAAATTATATAATCAGGATGAAAAGATTTCAAAAGTCATCAGATTCAGCTACTCATCTCATAATTTAATCCTTCCTACATTTTCCCACCAGGAAGTCTCCTAGCCCATGATCGAATACTTATTGTTGGATAACTCTGGCTTTTCAAACGCTCTCAGGGTGAACTAAATGATGTTTCAACCTGTAGCTTTCATCATTTGGAAATACGGAGAACGAATGTACACCCTTTGCCTGTTAATAGCCCTTTGTACATTTGAAATCTCTCATCACAGGCTAGTCTCTAAACTTCTTCGGAACCATTCCCATCTCTCCAAGAAACTTTGATCTTTCTCCTTTCCCTCCATGTCAGAATTTTGGAAAGAATAGTCTCTAGATGTGGTTTCGGCTTCCTTCAGTTTTATTTTCTCTTCAACGCCTGTGTATGGAGTCTGATGCAACAACTCCTCAAGCTAAAACACAGGGACTACCCAGGAGTCGGAACAAAACAAAAAACAGAGAAATAGTAAAGTCGACTTGCTTTTATTGCATTATCTTTATAATATTTTTATCACTATACCAAGAGTTTTGGATATTTTTTTCTTTTTAATTCTCACTAAGCCCTACATGAAGTACATATCAGTATTTTTCTTTTAAGAGAAATTTTTGCTATCAGGTGTATGTACTTGCTGGAGAGACAGAGATAAGTAGAGAGACAGAGTTAAGAAATCACCACCATCCGCCAGGAAGGATGGCCACACTGCAATCCCTTCTCCATTATCCTCTTGAGATCTTGGGCATAGCCTGGATTTAAAAAAAGCATTTAGATTTCCTTGTTTCAAAAAGTAGATAGAGGGACCAGCAGGTGGTGTAAATCATGTCACTGGATTCACATGTAGTCTACTGTGGTTCGAGTCCCAGACTCGCTGGCTTAAAACTCAGGCTGAGTGTGTGCGCACAAAATCCTGAGAGGAGAATGGGGGAGAAGGGATTGCGGTGTGGCCCTCCTCACTCAGGGGTGACTTCTCACTTTCTGTCTCTCTGTCTCTCCAGTGAGCGTACACACCCTATAGCAAAAATCTCTCTCTCTCAAAAAAAAAAAATCTCAGAAAGTAGATATGGTCGATATGTAAAGCATTTGAAAACGTGTATCCAAGATGGTTAAAATAGGGCAGCAGTTGGGGCGTAAGTATTCTAAGCTTTAATTATCTAGGAAAAAAAACCAATACCTGGGTAAAAGAGTGATCAGAATAAATGAGATGGGTCCAGTAGGTGGCGTGGAGGTTAAGGCAGCTGGATCTCACGCGGCTGACTGAAGTTTGAATCCTGGACCAAGTGGCTTGAAAAACCACCCCCAGACACGTGTAGGTATGTGCCCAAAGTCTCGAGAGGAAAATGGAGAAGGGATTGTGGTGTGATTATCTCCCATGAGAGGTGTGATTGATGCCTCATTTTCCCTCTTTCTCTCTCTGTATCTCTGTCTCTCTCTGATGAGCAAATGTGCCCTATAGCAAAAATTGAAAAAAAAAAAAAAGGTAAGTGAGTTGATCCCCCAGATAGATCACTATTACAGAGATCTCAGGAAAAATCCATAGTTATAGATTCCGTTTTGAATTTTAAAAAGGAAAAAACCGAAGAACTGAGGTTGTTCCCAGGGGAGAGGCAAAGGGCAAAGTGGGTTCTGCTCTCTCGGGATTCTGATGGTGCGTTCAGGCTCCCGTTGGCGCCCTCACTGGTGACGTGCCCGTGGTCTTTTCCTTCACCCCCAGGACTGTCCTCCAGATGCGGAAGACTTCAGAGCCCAGCAGTGCTCAGCCTACAATGACGTCCAGTATCAGGGGCGCTATTATGAATGGCTCCCACGGTATAACGACCCTGCCGCCCCGTGCGCGCTCAAGTGTCACGCGCGAGGACATAACTTAGTAGTGGAGCTGGCACCTAAGGTGCTGGATGGGACGCGCTGTAACGCTGATTCTCTGGACATGTGTATCAGCGGCATCTGTCAGGTAAGCCACACCTGCCTCCCATGCCCCTGGTTCGGGGAGATGCCACGCCCACCCTTAAAAATTGTTTCTTAAGGGATTACATTTGATTTAACTGAAAGATTTATGTTTTGTTTCATTTGGATGGTCACTTATTTAAACACGATTTTTTTAAAACTGATTAGGAAATCATATGCAGGAACTGTGCAATAATTCTTCGCTGAAGTAATGATTTATAGATGAGCATTTATTCCCGGAAGCACTACTCATATATTTAAAATACGTACTTTTGTTAGCTCCCATCTTGTGTGACTTGTTTTATTTACTAACTGTAAATTAAGACTATCGCCCTACTGATTTGTATGCTGTAGCAGTCGGTACTGTAGAAGATGGTTATTTAACAGAAGTTAATCAATGTTGTTGACGTGCTTATCAGTTAGTTTATAAATTACTGTCATTAGAGATCCTGGCTTCATGAGCTGTCAAAGAAGTTGAAAACACCTTAGAAGACTTAGAAATTTGCTTAGTATTGATTATGGTGGACTCTGAACGCCCAAATTGGGTAGCCCCTCTATTTCAAGGGCAGTTCTGGCTTCTCCCTCTGAATCACAAGGCAACCAGAATTTCTTTTTAAATATCATTTTTCTGTGATGTTTTCACATGCTTTATTTGGCCGTAAGATTTGGATGAATTGTAACTCTGAAAAAATTATGAAGCATATGTCAGTGCTTGGGGAGGCGTTCGGTTGCCCAGGATCTTGCAAGGCCCTAAACACTCTTCAAAACAAGCCCATCCTAGCTCCTAAACCCACACCCTTCCTAGGTGACCAGATAGAGGGTGATTCTCATGCTCATGAAATGTGAAGTGCTCAGGCAGGGCCACGAATGTGTCAGTACAGTGCTTGGCCCAGGAACAGGGTTTCTATAATTTAATGGCAGAATTATTCCCCTTGGAGAAAGTTGCATGAACACAAGTTACTCATTGATTGAATCTCAACCATACAAGTGTGTTTCCAAAATCAATCGCTCTTAAGTCGTTCCACATGTAGTTGCAAATATTAATATAATGGCCTCTGTACGGGGTTCTTGGTTGTCCATCTGCTGATACTAAAAGTGGAGGAAAATGGAGCAAGGTGTTAAGATCCTGCTGTTAGATGACAGGGATTTAAAAACCATGCCTGGGGCCCAGCAGATGGCATAGTGATTACATCACTGGACTCCCACATGACCAAAACAGTTCAAGTCCCAGACCTGGTGGCTTGAAAATCACGCCAGGCACGTGTGCGTGCATGCCTAAGATCTCAGGAGTAGAATGGAAGAGGAAGGATTGCAGTATGGCCATGCCCGCTGGGGATTGATTTCTTACTTTCCCTTTCATTGTCTCTGTCTCTCGCTCTCCGATGAGCACAGGTGCCTTAAGGCAAAAAGCTCTAAAAAAAAATAAAACAACCCACAACTGACACTATATAACAGCTGGGTTGTGTTGGCAAATTATTTCACCTCTGTAACGTTAGGGTTTCTTATTTGCAAAATAGAGATGAAAGATATCTCCTACCTTGTAAGATTGTTGCGGAGATTAAGGGAAATAACATGTGTGATGAGCATGGCATAAGGCCACGCGCGTGGTCAGAATCCCATAGAAACCAACTATTATCATTTGGGACTATTTTTCTAAAATTATATAATCAGGATGAAAAGATTTCAAAAGTCATCAGATTCAGCTACTCATCTCATAATTTAATCCTTCCTACATTTTCCCACCAGGAAGTCTCCTAGCCCATGATCGAATACTTATTGTTGGATAACTCTGGCTTTTCAAACGCTCTCAGGGTGAACTAAATGATGTTTCAACCTGTAGCTTTCATCATTTGGAAATAGGGAGAACGAATGTACACCCTTTGCCTGTTAATAGCCCTTTGTACATTTGAAATCTCTCATCACAGGCTAGTCTCTAAACTTCTTCGGAACCATTCCCATCTCTCCAAGAAACTTTGATCTTTCTCCTTTCCCTCCATGTCAGAATTTTGGAAAGAATAGTCTCTAGATGTGGTTTCGGCTTCCTTCAGTTTTATTTTCTCTTCAACGCCTGTGTATGGAGTCTGATGCAACAACTCCTCAAGCTAAAACACAGGGACTACCCAGGAGTCGGAACAAAACAAAAAACAGAGAAATAGTAAAGTCGACTTGCTTTTATTGCATTATCTTTATAATATTTTTATCACTATACCAAGAGTTTTGGATATTTTTTTCTTTTTAATTCTCACTAAGCCCTACATGAAGTACATATCAGTATTTTTCTTTTAAGAGAAATTTTTGCTATCAGGTGTATGTACTTGCTGGAGAGACAGAGATAAGTAGAGAGACAGAGTTAAGAAATCACCACCATCCGCCAGGAAGGATGGCCACACTGCAATCCCTTCTCCATTATCCTCTTGAGATCTTGGGCATACATGCTCATATGCCCAGCATGGGTTTTAAGTTGCCAGGTCCAGGACTTGAACTGTGGTCAACTCTATGTGAGTCCAGTGTTTGCAACTGTTATCTGCTGGTCCCCATATCAGTATTATTATCACTATTTTACAGTTGAGGAAAACGAGTCTTTTGGAGTTTGAATTGTTCAACTTCCTGCAACTCCAAAGCAGTGGTGGGTGGGTTAGGATTTGGCAGGGAGCTGTCTGCCTCCCAAGTTTGTGCACTTAAACATGAGGTTTTTAAATATTTATAAATGAGATTGGATGAATGGGGCATAGAGGTAAACGATCTGATCAGTTAATATCATTGGGCACACCTTAGGTAAAAGACATATTTGTAAAATAAAAAGAAACAGAAGACATAGCTCTTTTTCTCATATAAGGAATCTTATGACCTAGGGCTCCCTCCCCCACGCACATACACACGAAAAATAACTCATAAGAGACTGAAAAATAGCAGTACAAACACATTCTATCTGAGCCATCCCTCCTGTTAACTCTCTCTCTTTTAATTGTTTATTTTAAATTTTGCTAGAGGGTGCATATGCTCAATGGAGAGAAACAGTGAGAGAAATAGGGAGAGAGGGAGAGGGAGAGTGAGAAGGCATCTCCCACTGGGGATGGTCATGCCATATTCCCTTCTCCACCGTCTCCCTCCTTTCAGGATTTTGGACACTCATGTCCACATCCTTCAAGTCAGCCACGTGGGATCTAGCAACCTTAGCTACCATGCCACTGCTAGTCTCCCCTCTTGTCTTTTAAAAATTATTTATAAATATGTAGATAGAATGGCATAGAGGTGATGATAAGGATGCATAAATGTCCAGGTATATGTATGTGGAGAGATTAAAAAAAAAGAGAGAAGGACCAGCAGTTAGCGTAATGGCTATGTCGCTGGACTCCCATGTAGTCGACGCCAGGCACGTGTGCGTGCGTGCCCAAGATCTCAAGAGGAGAATGGAGAAGGGATTGTGGCATGGCCATCCCCCCTGGGGGGTGATTTCTTGCTTCCTGTCTCTCTTTCTGGTGAGCGCATGCGCCCTTTAGCAAGAACTTCTCCCAAAAAAAAAAAAAAAAGAAAAAAGACATTTAATGTAACACTATGGGCTGAAAGGATCTCAATCCAGTTCCGGATCACAGTTGTTTGAGGGAGGAAAAGAGGAAGTGCGATAAGTAGGAGAGTGGAAACACCATCTGTAATGTTCCACTGTATATGCATAGAAATAGCTGAACAAAACATAAATTAAAAAGAGAGGGTAAAGAGAGACAGCTTATTCTCCTTTAGTTTTTTTTTTTTTTGCACCTTGTGTAAGAATCAAATAAATGATATTAAACTGTCAGGCGACATCATTCAGGTTTGTAAAACTGTAAAAGAGAGGCGGTTAGGATATTTTGAGAGGATCACGCCATGCGTCAAGTCCCTGAGATACAGACTGTCCTGTGTCTGCTCGCTCCTGACACCTCCTTCTGTGGGCAGGCAGTGGGCTGTGACCGGCAGCTGGGAAGTAACGCCAAGGAGGACAACTGTGGCGTCTGCGCTGGCGATGGCTCCACCTGCAGGCTTGTGCGGGGACAGTCGAAGTCACACGTCTCTCCCGAAAAAAGTAGGTTTTGAAACCCGGCGTTCAGCAGCCACGTGAGTGAAAAGTTACCTGTTGAGGGTGTATATCACACTGTCTTCGACGTGATGGCCATGCGCTGCCTTCGTGCTGGAAAACACCATATTGGATGTTGTAAAGCTATACCGCAATTAAGGGTCAATTTAAAAAACAACTAAAGACAGACCAAAAACTCAATGCTATGCTGCCCTAATAAAGTAGGATGTGTTTTAGCCTGTCCATTACTAAAAGAACATTTTCCTAGTGCTAAGGGTTTTTTAAGTTGAAAATAACTTCCGACCAGTCACATTTCTTCCAAGTGTATATCAAATATTGGCTCCCATGATCTCTTCAAAGAGTGTCTGTTTCTTTGAACTTTTGCCAGTCCAGACTGACTGTTTTTTTTAAATACGTGTTACTTTTGGGGGATAATTGTGAAGTAGTAATTTCTTTGTTCACCTTCCTTGGCTGGCTAGCAAGGTAGAAGATATTATCATCCATTTATGGACCATTTATACTTTTTCATTTTTCAATGAGCTGTTTTCTTATTTGGGCTTTTTTTTTTTTTTGAGAGAGGTTTTTGCTGTTCGGCGTGGGCACTTGCCAGAAAAACAGAGAAAAGGAGACAGAAAGGGAGAGATCACCCCCTGGGGGGAATGGCCATGCCGCAGTCCCTTCTCCTCCATTCTCCTCTCGGGATCTTGGGCACACATGCACATGTGCCTGGCGTGCCTTTAAGCCACCAGGTTCAGGACTCGAACCGTGGTTGACTACATGGGAGTCCAGCAACATAGCCGTTATGCTAACTGCTAGTCCCGCTATTTGGCCTTTTAATAGATCACAAATTTCAACCTTTGTTGGTCATAGCTGTTTCAAATGTGGTTTCCAATTTGCCGTTTGACCTTTGATTTTGTTTCTGTTTTTTCAAATCTATAACTTCTAAGCTTTATTTATCTGGAAATTTCCTTTTTTTTACCCTTAATAATATCTGCCATTTAAAAAAAAAATTCTTTAATTTGGGGAGGAGGGGCCAGTAAACATTTTGTATAAAGAACCAGATAGTAAATATTTTGGGCTTTGCAGGACATACAGGCTCTGCCTCAGTTCCGCAGCACCGCCGTTGCAGTGCATAGAGCCCCACAAGCAACCTGTGAACAAATGGGCGTGGCTGTGTTTCAGTAAAACTTTATTTACAAAATCAAACTGCAAGCTGAATTTGGCCCTCAGGTTATAGCTTACTGACCTCTGCTTTGAAGAAAAAATACTATTTATTGCATGTTTTCTGTGAGTACTTTTATGGTTTTGTTTATCTCATTTTAAATCTTTCATTCGTTTGATTTCATTTTGATGTAACTTACGAAGTATTGATCTTATTCCCCCCCCCCCCCAAATGGAGTGAACAGGAAGAGGGTTACTGGATGATGAAGGATAGGGAGAGTCTTCTAAATAAAGGAAACACAAAGCTCATGGTATGACATTAGAGAAAAGCCTGGCTTTTTTGAGGGATCACTAATAGGTTGCTCAGGTGTGAGTGCACAGATTAGGCAGAAGCCAGGACAGGATGGCATTCAGGAGTTAACCATGAAAGCCTTCATTTTTGTGCTTTATATTTCAGGTTAAGTGAAGCAATTTAGGCAGTGAAATGACATGGTTAGATTTATGTTTTAGTAAAATAATTCTGGCAGCGTGTGGAGACTGGATTACCTCTGAGGTGAGCCTGGAAGCAGGGAGCTCAAATATAAAGGTTTTTAAAAAACACTCAAGGGTCTTTGCAATAATAAGGCCTTGATACAGGATAGTATGGCGGGAGGTGTAGAGGAAGGAACAGATGGAGAGGTATTTAGGAGGTAGATGGGCAGAATTTCATAATTCTTTGAAGACTATAAGAGAAAAGCTAAGATGATGCAGATTTTCAGCTTGAATGGCTGTATGGTTGTGTTTCTTGTTCATCTGGGTAAGGAATTTATGAAAAGGAGCCGCCTAACAAATGTTGAGAATCCACCTCCCTGGATATTTCTTTTTTCCAGAATTTTGGCCCTATATGTATTCAGTACCTTGGTACCTTTCTGAGGCCTTCAGACAGATGTCAATCGTATCTGTTTGTGATTGGAGGATTGATCTGACACAGGCCAGTCCATCTTGATAGCACAATCCCCTCATTGATGCTAATCGGTTACAAAGGAGGTGAGTCCACGGAAAAAGAGTAGTTAGAGTACAGGAGGAAGCCAAGCATTGCATCCTGATGAGCACCCAAAGTTAAGGCAGTTAGCCAGGAAAGAAATTTAAGGAAAGTTAACTGAGAAGGAGTAGAAAGAGTAGATAGATAAATTCAGAACTTAGCAAGAGCAGCATCATGACAGCAGAAAGAATTTCAAAATGGAGGCCATGGTCAGCCATGTTGAATGATCTGGTGAGGTCAACCGAGATAAAGATCCCCAATTTTTCTTTGGCAATTTGAAGATTATATGTGATGTTAGCGATAGTATTTTCAGTCAATTTCAGGCTAAAATTGAAGTTTTATTGCAGTGAGTTGATGAGTAAAAAGAAGTTGAGGACATATAGAGGGAAGGATTTGTCCGAGACAGGAGGAGGGGGTATACACCAACACCATGTCAGTGGCTGGATAACCATATGGTACAGTTGGAGAACACGGTTTGTGTTCTAGCCTATTAGCTCTGTTTGACTCTTTATTAGCAGATAGAGTTAGCCTCTAAGAGTGAGGGGTCAGAGACTTGAGCATGTTTCTAAGGAAGAAAGGAGAAGTAAGAATTTAAAGACAATAGAAAGATACTGGAATGACCGTAGGAGGCTAGCTGAGTTTGGAAACCATGATTTGTGGAGTTTCCAGTCCATGGAATTGATGAAGGAAGTGGCTTTGAATGATGGTGTGGCTTTGAATGATCAATGAGGTGGATCAATGAGGAATGCATTCTACTGCAAATTGTAGGAAAAAAACCAACTTATAAATGGAAGATTATGTGCTTCCTCCACCAAGAAGTCTGGAGTAGATGGTCAAGGTTCTGGAAACTTCCACTGTGTCTCTCCAGAACCAGGCTCCTCCCTGTCTGTTTTTCACATCCTTCAACTGTGGCTTTCATCTCCCTGCCTACAAAGTCATTATTGAACATTTAGACATCACATACACATCTCAAATATCGTAATAAGGAAGAACAAATATAGTACAAAAAAAAAAAAAAGAAAGAAAAACCAAAAACTCAATGAAGACTGTAGCACTGTGTCCTTTCATTAGGAAGGGAAGTGCTCCCAGGAATTTTGCCTCATTGACCAAAACTGTGGCATATGATACTTTCTCTTCTAAGGAGACAGAAACCCAAGAATCTGACATTCTAGCCATTCCATTATTTCTATTATTGACATAATGCTTTGCAATTCCCAGAATTCACGTCAGGCACATCATGGAATTCCAGCCGTGTCTTTCTGTTCTACTTTTGATGCAGTCAGCTCATTTTACAGATGAGGAAACTAAAGACCAGAGGTGTTCAGCAGCACCTTGCTTAAGTGATTATGAAAGGAAATACAGTAAAGTGGTTAAGAACCGAGGCCTGTGGCCAGACTGTCTGTGTTTAAATTCTGGGTCTGTTGCCTACTCTCTGTGTCAGAAGAGCAGTTTCTCTAACCTCTGCGTATACCTTAGATTTCTCATTTTAAACTGGGAATAACCATACTACCTTTGTAGAGTTCTCGTCCGAATTAAATAATCCAATCCACCTAGCACTTTAAACAGTGTGGAACCTAGAAAACGCTCAGTAAATGCTAGCTGCTTTTTAGTTATTATTAGAAATATGACTTATTTGGTGGGCCGAGTGGTAGCGCAGCAGTAACACAGCAGGACTCACGTAGGAAAGGTCCTAGGTTTGTGTCTGTGGACTTCCCTGAGTGAGCTGGCCATGCACACACATCTGTGATCTGGATTGGCTGAGACTGGGGGTGGCTGGTGGCTGAGGACCCTGTTGGGGCATGCTTGTTTCTATGTATCACTCTCTCTGTCTCTCTCTCTCCTAAGACATGAATAAATAATTAATATATCTATATTGGATCATTGAAAAGTCATGATGCATTTCTTCATAGAAAAATAATGTCATGACTTTTCTGATGGCCCAATATTAACTATTTAGGTACCAAAGGATGTCATTCCTCATATGCCTTAAGTTTAAATGTAGATATTTATAAACAGAGGTTTAAATCTACCATTGGTCCATCTGGGGATTGATTTGTTTTCGTTTTTGTTTTTTAGAGAGAGAGATTTTTGCTGTAGGACACATGTGCTCACTGGAGGGACAGAAAGGGAGAAATCACCATCTAGGGGGATGGCCATGCTATAATCCCTTCTCCTCCATTTTCCTCTCGAGATTTTGGGCACACATGCACATGCGCCCAGCATGAGTTTTAAGCCTCCAGTCTGGGACTTGAACTACAGTTGACTACGTGGTAGTCCAGAGGCTCAATCATTATACGATTCGCTGGTCACTGGGGATTGATTTTAATAGAGCTACTGATATATGGAAGAAAACCTTAAAATTAGCATTAAACAACAAAGAAAAGCACATATTGTTGGAGAAACCAGAGTTAGAAGAAAGACTCAGATCAGGTCAAAGATGTGTTCTATGAAGAGTTAATTCAGGAAGGCTTGTGGACAAGCCCAAGATGGGAGAAGGTCACCAGCTCCAGGTGACAGGAGTGCCTAGAGTTATCACTGTCCTTAAAAAAAGTTGGAAAATCTCATCAGAAAAGACCCTCGTTTGGTCAGGGTCCAAGAGAGATTAGAAGTCAAGATAATTCTAATGGAACCAGGCCACGAAAGCAGTCTTTTCGTAAAAGCATGCAGAGGTAGTCCGCTGGGATGGGGTGCTGCCTTGGCTGAAAGGGGCCCACCCTCCTGGTTTGGACTTCATGGTTCTTACTCTTCAGAGAGTTCCCAGTCTCTCCCCCACTTTGTCACATTGATTTTCAGTTTTGGGGTTACAGATCCTATTGAGACTCTTGAA